TTTTTTTTTTTTTTTTTTTTGGTCTGGGAAAGCCTGTAACTCTTCTGAATGACAGCCTTGGTGGATACAGGATTCTTTGCTATATATTTTTCCTATTCAGCACATTGAATATTTCCTGCCATTCTTTTCTAGCCTGCCAAGGTTCAGTGGACAGGTCTGCTACTACCATTATGTGTCTACCCTTGTTTGTTAAGGCCCTTTTGTCTCTAGCTGCTTTCAGAATTCTCTCTTTATCTTTGCATTTTGCCAATTTCACTATTATATGTTCTGGTTTTGACCTGTTTTTTTTTTTTTTTTTATTGTTTATTTTGATGGGAGTTCTCTGTGCTCTCTTGATTTGGATGTCTGTGTCCTTCCCAGAAGGAAGTTCTCAGCTATAATTTGTTCAAATAAACCTTCTGTCTCTTTCTCTCTCCTTCTTCTGTAATTTCTATGACACCAATATTATTTCGTTTCATTGAATCACTTAGGTGTCTAATTCTTCCCTCATGGTCCGGTAATTTCCTTTTCCTCTTTTTCTCAGCTTTATCATTTTGCATCATTTTAGCTTCTATTTCACCTGTTCTCTCCTCTGCTTCTCCTATCCTTGCTGTCAGTGCATCTAGTTTATTTTGCATCTCATTTACAGCACTTCTTAACTCATCATTACCATTTCTTAGGTCCTTCATCTCTGCAGCAGTTGATTCTCTGCTATCTTCTTTTCACGCCCAGCTCTTAGCCTTATGATCCTTATTCTAAGTTCTTGTTCAGATACATTGTTTATATCTGTTTTGAGCAATTCTCTGGCTGTCTTTTCTTCCTGGAATTTGTTTTGAGGGGAATTCTTCTCTTTTGTTATTTTGGCTAGTTTTCTGTCTTTTATGTGTTTTAATAGCTTGTTATGAGTCCTGTACCTATGAATAATGCTATATTAAAAAGAGGTTACACATTATCCAGGACCTGGTACTTCTGGAAGTGTTCTTGGTGTGTGTTGTGTGACTCTGTTGTTGCATCTGTGGTTGCTTTATCCCACTGCTCGTATTGGTGGATTGGACCTTCCCCCAGGTATGCTGTGATTTGCTCTTTGAAGTAACTCTGGAAAGAAGGAAAAAGTGGCCAGGGAAGAAGACTTATCCTATACAAGAGAGAAATGACAGGGTGGAATAAAAAAGACCAGGTAGAGAAGGAAAGAAACTATTAGACTTAATACTGAGACAGAGAGAGGAAAATAAAGAAGACAGAGGTACAGAACAGGTATTAAAAAAATAAAGTAAGTTGCCTGATTAAACAAACAAAAAAAAAGGAAAGAAAGAAAAAATATTTATATAATAAGAATTGACCAAAAATTGAATCAGGAAGTATGAGGCTAATTCCAATGGGGAAAGAAAAAAAGAGGAGAATAGAAAGAAAAGAAAGGGAAAAGAGAAGGAAAGAAAAGCGAAAAATATATAATTAAAACAAAAACAGAATAACATACAAAACCACACGACAGTTGTTTGTTGGTGCCTTAGGACTGGGGCCTGTGCTGGTCTGGAGGAGAGGTCTTCTGGTTCAGTCAGTGTTGATCTCACTCTGGTGGATAAAGCAGTTACCAGGCATGGAGGTGCAGGGTTCGGCGTAAATGGCTTCCACCTCCAGTGGTTGCCACTGACCTGTTCCCTGAAGCACCACTGTGTTGGTGATGGGGAGAAAAATGGCGACACCCCAATCTCTCCTCCCCAAATGGGTATCTCAAACCACGCCATTCAGGCAGCCCTCGTAGTAGCATGGGTGGAGTTCTGTGGGTGGTGATCCTTGTCAGTTGTTTGTAATATCTGGAACACCAGTGGGGAATCTGACATGGGCGTTGCAAGGGTAAGCTCTTTGCTCCAAGTTTGCTCCAAAGCTCAGAGTCCAGATGAAAAGGCTCATCTGCAATTCATCCTCTTAGAATGGCAACAATTTTTTAAAATGCAAATTTGCTTATATCACTCCTCTGCTTAAAATATTCCCATAGCTTCCCATTACCATTAAAATATAGATTGAATATGTCAACATGTGGCCTTTCAGAGCTGGCTCCTGGATATATCTTGTATCGCTAACCCTCTTGCTCTCTAAACTTTAGCACCACTGGCCTTTGGTGAGTTCTTCAAACACATCATAATTCCTCATACCAGAGGCCTTGAGGCTTTCTTTCCTCCCATGCTCATTCTAGCTAACTTGTTCTCATCCTTTATATCCCACCTAACATATCCCTCCCTCTCACCCTTCAGACTATACCACACTCCCTATTATATGTTCTCATAGCACTTCCTAGCACATACATACATTTGTAATTTTCACATTTATTTTGTGACAACATAATTAATATTCTCCTTGTCCTATAGAATGTAAGATCCAGGATATCAGGAATAGTATGTTTTGTTTTGTTTTTTTTTCTAATTACTGTATCCCAAAACCTAAAACAGTGCTTGGAACATTATAAATTCTTTATAAGTATCGAATGAATGAATGAATGAATGAATGAATGAATGAATGAATGGCTTGATCTAATGATGAATTTTAGAATATCTAAAAAAAATCGTAAGTCACTCACAGGTATCCTAACACAGAGTTTGAGCCTATACACCCTGAAAGAGATCTCAAGTTCAAATATTCTTTCTACTTAATTAAATTCAAGTCCATGAGCTTTTCATAATGGCCAACAAAATGTCCTTTGTATAAGTTGAGGACATTAGTGATGACATACCTGAGTAAAAACCATCCCCACTCGTGCTACATGTGAGTTGTAATTTTCCATAAAAAGCAATTTTAAGAGTATTTCTATTGATTTTGAAAATCTTTAATTCATTTTACTTTTTGATGCTCCCTAGACTTACCCATTGAACAGTAGTTCCACAAGGATTTGGGGGAAGTTAAGTCAAAGGTGAACACTGAGAGAATCTCTTCCCATCTCCACTTCCAAATAAGGGTATTCTAAGAGAAGGCATTAGGTGATAGTTTGTAAAAGGAATAATTATGATAACTATGCTCACAGCCAGAGCAAAAGCCAAGGTAAAATTTCCCCACAATTTTTCACCCACATTTGTGGCAAGGCAAGGCTAGGCTAGGCTGCAAGATTTAGCCAGTTATGAAACACTTAGCCCATTTGTTTTATATGAGGATTTCGTTAGTTATATAAACAGTGAAAACAAATTAAAAGGGCTAGATACCCATGTCCCTTGTGCAGGGTCATACCATATCAAAAGGGCTTTTGTTGATAAATGCATCATATGTAGTAGGACACCATGTTGCTGACAGCCAATTTCATGCTGCACCTAAGCAGTTTTATAGCCTGTAACTCTACCCTGAAGGGAGCTAGGTAGCAACCTTTATATCGCATCAGAATCTAGGGGGCAGTGAGAAACTGATGACACCCTCTCTGGGGCAGTAGGGAGGCAAGTGAAAAAGGTTCTTGTAGCAGCTCTTCACCTGCCTCCATGTTCTTCTACTACCAGAGGATCACAGGCTTTCTGCCAAGACTTTTATTCACTGAAGCTAAGCCTTGTATATGTGGCTCATGTGTTGGCATGCTAGGTTGCCAGGATGCCATAGTGTATTCATTCCCTGACACACTAGTAAGTGGAATCTCCCCCAAGTCCACAGATTCCTTACCATTTTACTGTGTTCTAGACTAGAAAGTTGAAGTTTAAGGGAGACAGACATGGCTTTCTATATTCCTTCTTTTATTTATGTGTTTCTCTCAAATAAAAATCCTGCTACTTACATACCATTATTTTGATACCAGATTTAAATTTTATTTTCAACCATGGCTTTAAGTATTTTTTGAATTCTTAGTCTTTCTCATTTTTTTCCTCCGTGTGACAAAAAAAAACAGTGATATGACTAAGAGTTTGCCTAAACAGTAGCACAGAAATGTCCTAAGAATTTCACATAAAAGTATATACACAATTTCCTGTGGCTAACTGGAAATCCAATATTTGGTAGATTATACATACATTTGAAGGTAACTGTAGATTTTACAGATTGGATCAAGGTGTTTTAACTGATGACAATAACTGTACTGTAGGCTTGCTGAGATCTGCAGCAGTCTTTAATTTTATTGTAGAAGTGAGTATATTGCAGGATGTAGACACTGGGCACATCATCTATGCTGAAGAGATACTTGCTGCGTTTTTTTTCAGTAAAATATTTCCCCTTTATCTTTTCTCAATAGAAACGAAATCAGTATCACTGTGAAATTCACCAGTCGCTTCCTTCATCCTGCTGAAGCTTCACTGTTATTGATTTCAAAACCTAAGCATGGGATAGGAGGCACTACAACGACTTTTGCTCTTAAGGGTGAAGTCCTCAACTTTAAGGCCATTGTAAGTAAATTTTCCCTATTTTGTATGTCTGCTTCTCTTCGCAGGCCATGGAGTGTCCCAAGCACAGCTATTCCTCCAAGTTTTATCTCTATATAGCACCTGTTCTTTGAGATGGTGTGTGTATAGACACATATGTGCACATACTTACATATGCACAATTCTTGGCTTCTGTGTCTCTGATATTCTTGCTTTGATACTCTTTCTCTGGAAATAATTCTTCAATTTTATAAGGGAATTTGAATGGATTTGTATTGAGTGTTACTTTAAGGTCAGATTTTTAGGATTATATTTGTTCTTTTCATGATGGAGTCATTCACTGTACACATAGCAACTTTACATCCCCTTCTGCCCTGAAGACTTGTGATTTTAAGGTAAGAAATCCCTGGGCTTTTGTCTATGTTTTTGTTTGAATTAAGTGTTGGTGGTTTATACAGTAAAGAAAATGTTTCTCTTCTCTGATAGGAACATTTATCAATTTATCTTGAATGTCCCATGGATCAAATCTATACTATGAAGTTCATGCGGGCTCTCTGTTTCCTTCTCCATCTGGCTACTCACGGTTTTAGTAAACCAGGGTGTGGATTGGATAATAATGGAGAAATAAAATAAGATAATAACATGACCGATCTAAAAATGTAGAATTCCTAGAATCTTATTTTCTGTGGAAGTCCTTCGGGTAGTTTGAGGTTTTAGTTTTATATTTGTGCTTTTTTTTTTTTTTTTTTTTTTTTTTTTTT